TATAACACGAAAATGAACTCTTTAACAGAGAATAACCGTTATTCTCTGTTAAAGAGTTCATTTTCGTGTTATATTTTTGCTAACTTCTGTGCTAAGTTGAATGGGTGTATTATAGGTTATGTGGATGTTTGCTAACTTCTGTGCTAAGTTGAATGGGTGTATTATAGGTTATGTGGATGGAGAATACTTTTTTATCCTTTCTTTTACATCGTGTGTGGTTAATATTTCTATATCTTAGTATCGTTCCACTTTAGTTTATGATATTCTTCTCTGACATAATGGATTATTAAAGATAAATTGATATTACAGAGTCTTGTGTATCTATCATGCTCCTGAATTCGATCTTTTCTTGGTCTTTCTGTTCCTACAATGCACTGTGGTCCACATTTGCAAGGATTGGTGTGTACTAATTATTATCTTATTGTATTTTGGCTTATTAATACTGTTTTGGTTTCATGCTGTGTTTTCGGAGAGGCTTTTGACACAATATGGATGTGTGTTTGTAAGTTTCTTTCTGCTTATTCTTGGTGTTTATCTTTACTATTTCCTTCTCAAAGTATCTGTTTTAAAGGAGGTTCATTGTTTATGTATAATGCGTTTATTTACACTGTTGAAATACACTAATCTATATTCGAGGTATCTACCAGCATCTGCAGGCTTCCTGTAAAATCCTAAGGTATATGATATGTATCTTAATGACCCTCACTTCGAGGAATGATAGTTGTTAGTTCATTCTATTTCTATTGTCTACTGCATGGCTCTACAACAAATGTATCGTCAACATATCTGATGCAAATCTTTGGTTATAGAATGACGTGTATGAAGATATGATCTTTGATATGTTCCATGTACACTACGGTAAGTTAGATCCCATAGCCAAACCTTCTTGTTGTTGGTAGTATTTATGTTTGTCTTGGAAGTAGGATGTGTTGGTACAGAAAGTTGTGAATTCTGTTATCGCGAAGATTGTCAATTGGATGCCTATCATTTTCAAGCTGTTGGTAGAGTACCTGTTGTACATTAGTGAACAGGTTTGATACATCGAAGTCAATCATTGTAATTTGGGAAGTAACCATGGTTTTTTTTATAATATCTACAAAGCGGACACAGTTTCTAACATGTGAGGATGTTTTACCTGTTAATGAGGATGTTGTGCCTATTAATAAGAAGCTTTTACTTGTTAATGAGAATGTTGTACTTGTTAATAAGGTTGTTTTATCTGTTAATAAAGATGTTTTACCTGTTAATGAGGATGTTTTACATATTAATGGGGAAGTTTTATCTGTTAATGAGGATGTTGTAACTATTAATAAGGATGTGTTACCGGTTAATACGAATGTTTACCTGTTAATGAGGATGTTGTAACTATCAATAAGGATGTTTCATCGGTTAATAAAGATATTTTACCTGTTAATAAGGATGTTTTACGTGGTAACCTTGTTTGTGATTTATAGGTAGACCATGTCGTGTACTGTTAGTTGTTTGTTAGTTTCATTCCAAATTCCTGTTGGTGTTTTTTTCAATGTTCTAGACTTGATCGTCTTGTAGTGGTCATCTTCTAGAAGCACCCTATCTTAGAGTGTGACTATAGTAAGTTTTTGAGTTAGGCTTTGGCATCGTGGGATTGATAGGTAATTTGACCTTAAATCTTTAGTAATAACATTTTTAGCGGAAGGTCAGAAGGTTATTTATTTTAGACAATTTACAGTTAAGTCTATATAAATTCCTTACAAATTCTGAGGCCTTAACGGGGTCATTAAGTACTTAAGGTAAAGTGGTGGCAAACGATTGTTAATCGTTGACATAACTACCATTATGTCTGGGGGTCAGGGGTAAGTTTTATGGACTAACAGCGCTAAAATCCGGAGTGCACATGGTCCAATGTTTAACTTTGCACTAAGAAAACAA